GCTTGTATATAGTTATTTTAGTTAAAACCATTAGTTTTGTCTTGGCCTCGTCCATGAAGTGGTCTTAACGAATTATAACGCTAGACATTGGTATTTATATTCTATTTCAAATTTCACCCAATTTAGTAAAAAAAAAATTTGCCATGATACACGTATAGTGTTTCTAACGCAATATTCTTAATCACTTGCGATTGACCTCTAGAATCCGACAGATCCTTTCTTCGCTCAATGCCGCCAACACACTGATAAAACCGTAGCCAGGCAGCGCAGACGAAATTTCTTGGCTGCCGTCAGCCAAACTAAAAAGGCCCGTGCCTCTCGGGCTTCTGTTGCACAAACAAAAACTGCATCTGTTTTACCTCTGACAGCTGAAGATTCTTTGGCCAAAGCATCTGCTGGCATTCCATTGCTGGCCGGGCTCGATGGGCGTGCTCATCGCAAGCTCGAATTCTATCGTCTTTTAGACAGACAAATAAAGCGGTCCCGTGAGAAGCCATATGGTGTGTAGTTGGAAGATCTCACGTTATCCTTCATTTATATATACTTTTTTCCTTTTTATATGATTTAATTGGTATCTTGCTATGGAGTCCCGTAACTTCATTGATGAATATGGTGATTAATTATCCTCATTATCACGTGTTCGCCGTTGAGGCATTTTTAGACCGCGTAATTTTGTTTTGAAGCGATTATCTGACCCTTTATGCCAGGAAAAATTGTTTCTGAGCAATCCTTGAAGTACACTCGAGAAAAATCCTGAAAAATCGGCTATTTTGATATACTTATCTGGGGCTTTTAATAAATCTGTCAGAAATGAGATGGATTGTTTGATCACTATTCTAAGGCATTAGCTCAGGGCACGTCCGCTTTTCTTGCGATAATATTAGCTTTTATGAATTACTTCGCCATTTTTTCGCTAATGAATAGTTTTTGCGATATCAGATTTTCCATGTTTTCAAACTGGCGTAATTATATGTAGGCGAATGCCAAGCTTTAAGACGGGCGCCAGTTTTTTTTTACTCATTAACAGAACGCTTTTTAGTTTGGCATGAATTCGACTAAGTAAACTTTATTACTTCATTCACTGCTATCCTAGGCTATGAAATAGTCAATTTTGGGTATTCATCTAGCACAGTTCGTTAGAATTAATGCTCTATTAGAGTAAAGTTATATCTTGGTTTCTTGGTAATTCAGCATTCTAGTTTATTTATTTCATTCCAGATGTATTCTATCTGAAATATACCCGCACTTCAAACTTTGTGACTCCACTTCGAAGTTTTTTCATTAATTAAATTCACTTTTTTTTATTGATATTTTAGTATTTTCTTTAATACCTAATCCATCTTATATGACTTAATACGCATTGCTTTTGCTAATTCTGGGCACAAACTCATATGCTTATCATCTCTAGTACCCTCTTCCAAGGCCAATCTCTTCTTGGAAAATTCTCCCATCGCCATGCGTCAGTTTATCAGCAAAGCCAGCCAGCTCCATCTTCCACTTGATTTAACAGGACAAACAAGCTCATCTGAAGCTGGCAAGGCAACTCCACTTGGCTACCCGACCTTCACCCCAGAGTTTGTCTCCTGTTTTTACGGTTAGCTCCTCGAAATCAGTGTCATGTTTTTTCCCGTGATATTTTATTTCTATTAAATTCTACAAAGCCTGTAATCATCCGCAAAACTTTAGTTTACTTGCTAGTTTGTACCTACTTAGCGGTGCTGCTCTATCTAAAGCATTCTTTCTTAAATGGATTTAATTGGCGCTTTTGCGAAGATTAATGCGACAATGAACATGTAACTAAGTGACAATAAATGGACAATTAATCTGATTCACTCCTTTAAATATATCATTATACTGTCTTATTCATCAATCAGGGACTAATATTATTTTCAAAACGTTTTCTAAAGCCAACTCCTTGAGCAGTTTTATCTTCGTAAACCCACTAATACTTCTTGCTTGCCTTGTTTTTATATTTTCACTCGATTTTTTGAAGGTTATTCTAAGCTGGTGTAATTATCAAGTTGATGCCGTGTCTAGCCATATTGAACTTCAGATATTTTCTTTCCTTAAGTCTCGCTTTTAGTATCCAGGAGATTCACTCAACTCTAATGCACTTCATCCTCAATCAGACATCCGATATACCTATTACTTAGTTGTAGGTTATTCTAACTTCCCGCTCACTTCATTTGCAAGCTAAATAGATAATTGAAAAGTCCATTATTTGCACGAGTTAAATAACACTCAATCTGATTTAAATGTATTTTGGTGTAGGTACTCTGCCAATACAGTTTCAATGTTTTTTTCGTTTTTCAGTTTATTTTATTAACATTCTTCTTTAATCATTTATTAACTGTTTCTTTTTAATATATAGCCACACAGGATAATCTGGTTTTTTCCTATTTTTATGTTTAATATCCATTTAGCGCTTACGCAAATAATTATTTTAATAATCTCTATTATGCGTTCGTCCACTTTATTATGAATAACAATTAGTAGGGCTCCCGTTTATAGTATATTTACCTATATAAGGTCTCATTTATTAGCTAAAGTCACAAACGCTTGCACCGCCGTTACTCGCTAGTGTCCATACACTTTGCTGAGTCTAGCCTCAATTTAGCTCTTCCACTCCTTGATAGCTCGCATATGTCATTAAAGCTTAAAGCTGTGGCCATTCGTCCTTTAATAAAGCTTGTTTATCTTTATTTGTCCTTTTTTATCACGCAAAACGTTTATTTCCTTACATATTTGTCCTTAATTGTGATTTACTATGCTTCCCTTAGAAAATTCAGTAAAACTGTCCTTTATTTTTATATCAATGACTTGTTTGGACTAATGTACCACAAAAATGAATATTTAAGTTTGTATTTTAGTATATTGTCGGGCTTTGTCTTCAAATGCCTTTTGTTACACTCTTATAACATGCATGTATGCACTTCATTTCAGACTGAGGGCTTCCAATCGTGAGGAAATCTCAGTATTTTAGTAATTTATTGATATATTCGCAAATTTGTTTTTTCGTCCTTAACCGGGAGAACTTGCGAAAGGCTGTCTGGAAATATAAAGACTAAATGTATATGCATAGCAAAGCTGATATAGCTATTCGATATATTTTCTGTAGCGTTATCACTAACTGAACACATTGAGAGTAGGGTTTGTAGGCCTTTTTGGCTACTTCTTTTCTATAAACCCAGTTTTTTTTGTACCTATCCACCTAGTAGGGGCTGTGCAAGTCTCCATACATTTATACATTTACATTTTACAAATATTTCTATCATAACGAAGTAAATCGCATATATCCTGAATAATTATAGTAATTACACCAAAGGCCGGGATTTTATGTTCGTATTTGTCTATAAAATACAAGGTGGGTTGTCCATTCATCACATTATTGACGTTATCAGAAGCAAATTTTAGGTAATACTGTCCCCATTGTTAGCTTAATTAAATCAAGACAATGCATTACAGAATTATGCAATCATTTCTTTGGCTTAGGGTCTTATCACTGCATAATTTGGCATCAACT